TGGCCCCGTCCTCCTGACCCCCACCCTGCAGATATTTAGAGGCATTTCTAAGGTCCCCTCTCAGCCTTCTCTTCTCCAGGCTGAACAAGCCCAGCTCCCTCAACCTCTCCTCGTAGCAGAGATGCTCCAGTCCTCTCCTCATCCTCGTACCCCTCCGCTGGACTCTCTCCAGTACAAACAAATCACCCACGATAAAGAAACTTCAAACCAGCGCGCTGTGAGAAAAATGTTCTCTCCACGCAGCCGGTGGCTTGAAAGCAAGGAGGAGGAAGGAAATACAAACCAAAAGGGAAAGACGGCGACCTGAGCAAACAAGAGGGCCGTGAAGCAGGCTGCATGGGTCAGAGAATGAGAATGATGAGCCTAGAGATGAGAAAAGGTGAAACAGAACGGGAGCAAACACCGCCCAGGGATGGCAGCTTGTGCTGAGAGCGGGGAGGGGAATGAGAGGATGACCTGACTTCCACGGCATCTATCAGCAAAACACCACCGCTTCCCAGGGGCAGGGTGGGAGTCTGCACCGGAGCCTCCTGACCTGCAAAGCTGGCCCCGGGCTGTCAAGACACTCAAGAAACACGGGTGACTGAGGGAGCCACGATACCTGTCGAACAGTCCATCTGGATCAAATGCGAGTCACTGTCAGCTTTCATTTTTTTAGCACTGTTCTCTGAGGTAGACGTGACAAGTAAGTTTGTAGAGGAAAAATAGGGCGGCTGCACGGAGCTCTGATCCACGCAGTCCATTTTCCTTTTCAGAGAAGACATCGTTACAGAAGAGGGCACGAGCGTTTCCGAGGCGTGAGCCCTGCCGAGCAGGTTGGTGCCAGGGATGCTGTGCTGTAGGAGGAAGTGGTCTATCCTGGCCTTGAGGGTCGGGTGAGGTAGGGGCTGCGAGTGCTGGCTGAAGGCCACCCCAGTGAAAGGATCGCTGGGGACCCTGCCCCAAGACGCTTCGCTCCGGTTGCATTTTTCCAGGGTGGTCTGGTCGATCACCTTCCCGGAGGGGAGGAGCATGGGGAAGGTCATGATCTCCAGAGTGATGGGGTCCAGGAATTCTTCGGGGATGTCTTGGACGACGTCCACCAGCTTGCGGAGGGTCTGCTGCTCGCTGTCGTTGGCGCTGAAGGGCACGCAGTCGCTCTCCATCGGCGTCCAGAGCTCCGGCTTGAGGCTGCCGACATCCTGGGCGAAGAACTGGGAGGCCACCTGAAAAACACCCTCGATCACCTCCTGCGGGCACGATTTGGCAGGCTGTCCCCACACCTCCAGCCTCTTAATGCAGGCTGTCCCCACCTCTCCAGCCTCTTAATGCAAGGCAGGCCGCCTCCGGCCACGTGGGTGATGCAGATCTTTAAGTGCGAGACGTTGCTCAGCGAGGCGGGGCCTTTGTTCCAGAGGTCTTGAGATGCAGAGCCAGGGTAGGAGAAGACATTTTCCATCTGGTGGAAGGGAGGCCTCGGCTTGAAGCCTCTGTGGCCGAATGTCACTTTGCTTTGATTTTTTAAGACAGCTTTCCCCACCAGCGTGAAAGTGTCTTTGTCTGACACAGGCTGACCGGCCAGACCTGGCAACTGACCCTCAGAGCTCTGCCAAGAGGTTTTATTGCATGAGGTAGAGGTGTAAACTTCGAGCCCGGAGAAGGTCTGGTATCCCCCAGACGAGATGTCGATATTAATCCTGCAGATCTCGATGTTGAAGGGAAAAGAGATCGTGACGTGGACTGGAGGTTTGATAAAGTATTCGCTGCGGAAACCACGGTTTCTCCTGGCAAGGTCTTCAGAGATCAGATTCTCCACTTCATAACCGTCAGCAGAAATCTGTGTTTCAGGAGAAAACTGGATTTAATTCGAAGCAAGAAAATTAAAAGGAAACTGATTTCACAAGCACTGACGCCGATTCGCAAGGTGATGTCAGCTAGGAACCAAGGCCGCGGTTTCACGTGCAGCTGAGACAACGCAGGAGGTCCCTGCTGCCGAGGCAGAGCAGACCCCCTCCCACCCTCCTCCGGCCACGCCGTCCCATCCACTCTTCTCTGCACCCTCTGCTACCTGGCCAGCCATGGGCAGAGCTGCCTGAACTGCTAAAAGAGTGGAAAGTTACGGAACTTTTTGTGGTTTTGGCTGGGTCAGTGAACTAAATCGAGCGGGAGAGCGTGGCTGGGAGCAGAGCACGTGTGCGTGGGGTGGACGGGAGTCTCCTCTCTTGCAACGGTGGTGAAACATGATGTCAGCTTATCCTGCTGTGGGGTAATGTCCGAACCACGCGGTTACAGGGCCTGAGAAACCTCTGGAGGCCTGCTAGCCGACTGGAGCTGTGGGAGCGGGGCCAGAGGAGGCCCCAGCAATGATCTGAGGGCTGGAATCCCTCTGCTGGGAGGAAAGGCTGGGAGAGCTGGGGCTGCTCAGCCTGGGGAGGAGAAGGACAAGGGGAGACCTTAGAGCAGCTGCCAGTGCCTGGAGGGGCTGCGAGAGAGCTGGAGCGGGGCTGGGACAAGGGCAGGGGGGGGAGGGGAAAGA